ACCATAAGTTAATATTTGTCTGCCCGGCTTGATATCCCATCTGGCAACCACCGTAAGTCAATATTTGTCTGCCCGGCTTGATATCCCATCTGGCAACCACCATAAGTTAATATTTGTCTACCTGGCTTGATATCCCATCTGGCAACCACCGTAAGTCAACATTTGTCTGCCCGGCTTGATATCCCAGCTGGAAACCACCGTAAGTAAATATTTGTCTGTCTGTATTCTCACTGAAGAAATAAACTTCAAGTGATCTTGTGGGCCGACAATTGCAGAGTGGCAATTCCTTCATTTTTTTCTGTCTGAAAATAGGGTCGTTTTCTTAGTTTAATGTGAAGATATATAGATACTTATATCTGTTAAATTTGTATTCAACGAATTGTGTATGGCCTGGGCGGACGGCTTGCGTGGTACTAAATTTTCAGTTCTAAAAAGCAAAGGGTTTAGGGGTACCTGTGTGAATCAATGTAAATGTTTAAAGAAAATAAGGCGGTTTAGAAATTATAAACAGTGATATATATAATTCATACTTTATCAGACACAGTTTAAGGGTGAATCGGGCATTGCCATCTGTACCTGGAGGCCCACAATTTGAAATTACGCGCTCAGTCCCTTTAACAACTTTGAATGTTTGTAGATGCGAGTGTTTACCTCAGTTCACTGTCACTCTAGCGTATCCCAGTTGCCACCCCACCTCTCCTCCTTTCTACCACCATCTCAGGTGGAGAGAGGACAGGCCAACATCAAGATAACCCTTATCTGGAAAGAAGGTAAGAGATATTTCCTTTACTTTAAAGCAGTGCTTAAGATCCATTTAATTTTAATGCGGATCCGGATTCTGGATCCGCACTGAAAAAAATGGATCCGGATCCAGGTGATTTCTTCAAGATTTACTAAATTATTTTAACAAAAAATAATATTCAATTTTTTGTTTTATTTTTTATGCTTATTTTTATCCTAAAACTTGATGAACCATTCAGAAATGAGGAAATTTTTATAATCTCTCTTTTTCAAAAGTTCAGATTTTGGTTTTAGGAGTAAATTTTTTTTTTGCAGTTTTTGGTTGATATTTTACCCCTTGGATCCGGATCCATGGATCCGCATATTTTTGCAGATCCGGATCCAGGAAGCCAAAATCTTGCGGATCTGGATCCGGATCCTAAGCAATTCTTTAAAGAGATGTAATGTAATGTTTTTCTCCTTCCCCAATTAAAGATTGCATAGTGCATACCCCGATTCACAACGGTGCCCGTTAAGCTTGTGTCGGAGTAAAAATAATGTAGATATCCTTGTTTTCTATCTTTTCATGTTTTTGCGGATTTATAAAACAGAGTAACTGACAGAATTTTTTTCAAAGTTCCAAGATAAAAAAGGGCAAATCTTTCTCATGGTTACTTCAAATATGTTAAATGTGGAAACATTGTGAGTCAGGCATGTACAATAAGGGTGACCAATATTGAAATTAAGCCAACCGCCAAAGGGGGCTGCTGCGTTTTCACTTAAAAAAATATTGCAATCAAAAAAAATTTTAATCGGCCATACGGTTACAAATTGATGATTTAATTTCGGAGAAATCACTGTAAGGCCAAAAAAAATGAAGAAGAAAAATTGTGTTATATATCATTTTCATGGAAATGTTATGCTGAATTTAAATCTAAAAAACGCTTTTAAAAATATTAAAAATTAAAGAAGTTATAGCTCATCCAATTTTCATTTTTTTCAAAAGCTTTTTAAGATCTGACATAGCCATCGCATTCATTGTATGACTTGGGGGATTGTCCCAGAATATCCCCTGCATCAAACTTAAATCCTTCATTTTAAAAGTACACTATGGATATCAATGTGGCTAAGCGCCATGCCATCCAAAAAGAATTAGCCTTTGTTTGATTTAATATCAATTTTATTAAGTTGGTATGGATTGTGAACTAATGGTGTCTCCAATCTCGCAAAGTTTAATCCGTGGAGAAGTGAACTTAATCCGGTATTTTGCCAGGTAATCTTAAATACTAGTTTAATCCGTGGTGAAGTGAACTTAATCCGGTATTTTGCCAGGTAATTTTAATATACTAGTTTAATCCGCGCAGAAGTGAATTTAATCCAGTATTTTGCCAGGTAATCTTAAATACTAGTTTAATCCGTGGAGAAGTGAACTTAATCCAGTGTTTTGCCAGGTAACCTCAAATACTAGTTAAATCTGGGGAGAAGTGACTTAATCCGTTACTTTGCCAGGTAATCTTAAATACTAGTTTAATCCGTGGAGAAGTGACTTAATCTGGTACTAGATAACCTTTTGTATAAATCATCTATCTATCTATCTATCTATCTATTCTAGAATGTATCCTGGTATATTCTGCTACGAGAACTCTAGTTCTGCTGCCTCTATAGATAATATGCTGGATAATGTGACTAGTCTACTATGGAGTTCTCCTAAGGATCGGCAACCTATTCTTAGACCACTAGCTGTCAATCTAGGTAAGGTTAATTGTTCACAGGGGTGTTTATTTGCTTTAAAAATCATCCCCCCACACCCCTCCATTTGAAAATGATAATTTTCCCCCTCAATTTAGGTATTTTTTGGAGTTTTATGTACTGAATCGGGAAATATAAACACCCCCGGGGGAGGGGGTAATTCTAGAAAATAAACACCCCGGGGGAGGAGGTAATTCTTGAAAAAAAACACCATTGTGTTCATAAAGGTAGTGACCGGCATAATGAGTGCCTCGTATTTAGAAGAAAAAAAATTTCGTTGGATACCAATAATATGTCACAATTTTTTTGATTTAATTAGTTCTTGGTTTCAGAAACTGGGGTATCCCACCGCCACAACCCGTGCTAGAGTAGCTTTAAGAAATGCAACGCAGTCATTTTCTCAAACTTGTGTTGTGTTATGAACTTTTTCTTTGTTAATTATATCATTCCACTTTCTTGCCTTTAAAGAGGACATTTTCACGATTTTAAGCCACAGATCTTCATTTATTTCANTCTTTGTTTTGATATCCTCCCACTGCAGTACATAGAATTGACGCATTAGATATGCTGGTTCCCTAATTATTTCTTGGTTTTATGATAGCTTTTCATTTCTAGCATTGTGATGAAACGGTTAAGCGTGAGTTTATGAACCAAAATCTTCATCTTTGAATCTATTTAATTTTGATGTGGATCCGTATCCTGGTTCCGGACTGGAATATAAATGGATCCGGATCCAGGTCACGGACATTTCTGTAAGATTTACTGATTTTTTAATGGAAGAAAAATTTGAAATCTATTTTCTTTTTCTTTTTTATGCTAAAACTTGATGAACCTTTATAGTTAAGGAAATATTTTTTAATATATCTTTTTCCAACAGTTCAGATTTGGGTTTTGAACGATTATTTTGCAGTTTTTTGTTGATATTTCGACCCTTGGATCCGGATCCAGGAAGCCCAAAATGTTGAGGATCATCCGTCTCCGGATTTTAAGCTTGTAATAATATTTTCTTTATTACAGGCAAATCATCTTATCTGTCAGGGGATGCTCTAGGAATAGCAGATCTGGCCCTATTCTCGGCAATAAAACAGCTCGGGCTTGATAGGAATATAAACTAGAGAATAACTCAGGAGTAAAATATATGTTGGTTAAAAAAAACAATTTACGTTTTTAACTGATAAAAAAAGTAATTTTGAGTATCAAAGAAAAGTAAAAAGAATTTTTGCACCAATAAGATAAAATTTTAAAAATTAGCTTTTATTGCCTATTTAGGAAAAAAGTGAATTTAGGAGGAAAAATGTCACTAAGTTTAAATGAAATCGACTACCCCCTTTTTAAAGCAAAGTTTTTGCCTAATGTTTAACAATTGCTTTGGGTTTTTTATATTGCTAAACTTCGCGAAATAAGTAGAATTTAGAGGACAAGCATGAAAAAGTTAGAAATTTGACCAGCTAAAGTCGTATCTGCAAAAATCACTTTAGAACATAAACGACAGACAAGACCGACGCACTATGGCTCAAAGTATTAAAAAACGGAAACAATTATTCCCTGCTTAATTGCTTCCAAAATTAATACCAGAAGTAACCCGTATGGTATTAAAAAATCTATTTATAGTAAAGTACTAGGCAGCATTCATTCTGTTCATCCTTCAGCATGCATGTGGTAATGCATCCCACATGCATGCTGATGCAATATGCATGCTCCATGATAAGTGTTATTAATAGATGTATGTCAACCCTTTGTTTTTTTTCATCAAATAATCCATGTATTGGGTAAAAATTGAGCTGTGTGCATTCTTTATGGCATGCTAGATGCATGCTGTCAATTTTCTCTTTTTAAATATCATCCGAAATAAATATTTATATTTTCTTAAAATTATTTAAGGCCAAAGTTGAGGTTTATGCAACTGGTCATGCTTGATGCATGCGGGCCAATCAATTTGTTTTAAAATATTCAGAGAGATGCGCATTTTAATGAATAAAATAATTGTATAGCCAAATTTAGCTTCCTTTATTCTGGCTGGCATAAAACATGCATGCTGGTCTAAAAAATGTTTAATGCTTAATGGATTTTTACTAAACTTTGCATTTGATTCAAATATTTAAATATACAGTGCAAATTAAACCAGCAATTTTTTGACTGATAAATATATAACTTTTATGTTAAAATTTACCATAATGCATTATGATTAGCGTGCAGAATGCATAGTGACCAATAACAATAGCAAGTGCCAGTGCATGTACGAAATATTATATATTCATATAACAGAGAGAAGCAATGTATAAAGTAAAAAAAACTTGTCTAAATCTAGTCAGCTCTCTGTGGGTTGAGAAATATGTGCAAAATGTTAATTTTTAATATTTAATTTTTCATCAAGTTTCTATAAACCAATAACTATTTGAAAAAATTTTGAAATCTAAAGTTTAAAAATGTTTCCAGAAAGTGAAAAGGAATGTTTTTTTAAAACTTTTTTTGAAAATAATTATTTTAGCTTACGTCTATTGAAGACAAGAAAGAAGAAACTTTTTTTAAAAATCTTTTTTTCTCAGCCCCAAAAAGAATTTGTAAACTTTTCAGCCAATAATTTCATCAAAAAAAAGTCATGAAGTATTTCCACTTTACACGCAAAATAAACGTTGAAAACATTATCTATTTTGACTTTTTAAAGACAAATTTATTTTTTCTCAGACATATCGATTAAGTTTATTTAATTTATGCAGTGACAAAAAAAAACTATTGAAAATTCAGGTGTTTTTTTTCGTTGTTTTAAACACTTTGAGTCATAGTGCAACGGACAAGCAAAGTATACATATATAGATACTAGACTTTAATTGCGATTCGCGCCCTTCCTCTATTTTAACTTTCAATATTTGTGAGCATTTTCTCTTCGTACAGTATAAAACAAAAATAAAAAAAGTTTGCGGATTTTGGTAAAAACGGTTGAACCAGGCTCTAATTTTCTGTGGCGTCTCAACGAACCCGGGGGAAGGTTTTTCTCTGGTCAAAATCAAATTAGAATCGGAAATCAGTGAAATATTTCAGTTAGAAGTTGTAAAAAAGCAACATTTTAAAGAAAAACTTATTTCTAGAAATAGGGACACAGAGTGTTCAGTGTCCGAATTTAATGAATTTGAGCTGCGGCTTAAATCTGCTAAAACCCGTTTTCAATTGAACGCCGGCTTAAATCTTGAAAAATTGATAACGATTTTAAGTGGAACTAACCATATTTGAGCTGCGTCTTAAATTCAAACCGCGGCTCAAATTTTTTAAATTCGGACTCTGATAACCTACATCGTTTATCTCCCAACTAATCTAGAATATATATTTCTCCCAACTAATCTAGAATATATATTTATCTCCCAACTAATCTAGAATATTTATTTGTATCCCAACTAATCTAGAATATATATTTATCTCCCAAGTAATCTAGAATATATATTTATCTCCCAAGTAATCTAGGATATATTTATCTCCCAACCAATCTAGAATATATATCTATCTCCCAACTAATCTAGAATATATATCGTATCTCCCAACTAATCTAGAATTTATGAATGAATAGGGATCTTCAACCCGAGCTAAGAAAGTGGTTTACTCTCGTATCTTCTCACTTGATGGTAGGCAGCCAGTACAAAGAGTTATTAATTTAAGAGTTTGTCTGAAAGAACTTTAATTTTACATTGTAAATGTTGGGAAGGGTGGGGTTTAATCCAAGAATGGAGGGATAGGGGAGTTAGTTGGNCACGGGAATGGCATGGGAATGGAATGTGAATGACATGGGAATGGCATGGGATCGGGAATGGGAATCGGAATCTAATCGAGGGGCGGGGTTTAGTGTATGAATGGAGGGGGTTCAGGGAGGGGAGGAGGGTTAGTCTTAGGATGAACGGGTTGAGTTTAGATTTTAAATTTTCTGTAAATGTTTTCGTCAGAAAAATCACTTTCCGTTCACGAGTTTTTATAATGATAATAATTTTATTAAGGGTGGCAAGGGTAGAAGACGCAGTCGAGCTTCAAGCATAAGAAAAAGTTTTCAAAAAAGAAGAAATTCAGAAAGAAAGAATTCGGAAAGGAAAGGATCGGGAAAGGAAAACACCCCACAAAGATCGATAAAGAAAGAAAAATCCCCAAAAAAGGAGATAAAGGAACCTAAACAAATTCTGAAAAGCTCCGGTAAGGAAAAAACTCCTCCTAAAAGTGTTACAATGTCTCATCTGAACAAAGTCGAGCTTTTCAACTATTTTACGGAGAACGGGATCGATTTTGAAAACGTAGAGCATCCGGAAGTTTTTACTGTTGAAACTATGATGCCATACGTTAAGCACTTGTCCGGCGCCATTTGTAAAAACCTGTTTTTGAAGGACAGACATAAGAATTTGTATCTCCTCTCCGCTAAATACGATCGAGAGTTTACTTTATCTGACATATCCAAGGCCATCGGTGCAAAGGATTTAAGATTTGGCGACGAAAGCGTCATGTTTGAGAAACTTGGGGTCAAGCAGGGCTGCGTAACTGCCTACGCATTAGTCAATGATAAAGAGAGATGCGTCAAGTTTTTGGTTGATAAACAGCTGATTGATGGGTCACATGATTCAGTTAGTTTTCACCCCCTTGTCAACTCTGCCACCACGAGAATATCGTCAAAGGATTTTAACAAGTTTCTTTATCTCACCCACCATACTGTGATCCCGTTTTAAACTTGTTTTTGGTGGATTTTACTTAAATTTTTTGTTTCAGAATGATTTTGCGGGCTTTTTAAACAGAAGAATCAGGTGGCGAGCGATTGAACATTTTTACATATGGAAATAAAATTTTTGTTATTGTGTTTTTGGGGGTAACTAGGAGCTTGGGTAACTCGACCTTCAAAGCCCATTAAAAAAAAAATAAGAAAATGCTGATTATATTTTTTCATTTTTGATTAGTAAATTTTTCGGGGTTTTAAAATTCCCTTTTTTATTTGCTCTTAGCATTGAAATATGTTCGATTACATGGTAAACCCGAATTTCATTGCGGGTAAAAATTGTTTTGTTTCGACTAAATCATGACCCTTGTCAATTGTTAAGTTATATTTTTGTTCCCAAGTATGAAGCGCATTGTAAATTCATTTTTATATGTATAAATCTTTCACCTTTTTCTTCATTTGTATTTTTATCTCTGAAATACAGAAATGAGCTATTTTTTCTTTTTACGAGCGACTTATATCTATATCTTTAGCTCAAATGGGAAATTTTAAATTAAAACTTTCTGTTTTTTAATGATAGTGTTCAGTGTTCGATGTTCAGTGTTCATATTAATGTGGTTATTTTTCATATTTTTTTAATTCAACGTGTTATGAAATTTTATTCTAGGATTCTCTAATCCTATAGATGTTTATAGAATTAGAAAATAACGAATAAACAATTTTATTGCTATGGCGGCGTGAGAAACGAACCAAAAATTACACATTTTTGATGGTGCATTTTTCGACCTACGCAAATCCGCTTTACTACATATCCGACATCCGACCTGCTAGCACGTGGTTTACAGCTGCTGATGGACTGTAGCCGCAGCGCTCGACCCAGAAATTGTCTGACCCTCAAATAATACAAAAATAAGCAGTAGGTCTGAAAGTCAGAAGTTCAGTCGGGGGGATATCGCGTATTATAACAATGTTTCAGTGACTTTAATGTTAATAGTTTTATACAATTCTAGATCACTAGTTTATTAAAACTGGTTTGTTTACACTGCACAATTGCTGTGTCTACTGTCTAATGCTATAACTAATAGGACTTGATACAATTTTATTCTAAAAGTTGTTTCACTATTTCAGACTTTCTGGTTATCACTGTATTCTTTCAGGGTCCTAATTTGGCATATTGTAAGAAAAGCAAAACTGTTAATTCTTAACATGTGTTTTTCTTAAATTATTCCAAAGTGTGACCTTGTCACGGTATATAGACGAAAAACAAAATCGTTGTTACGATTTCTTTTGGACTGTTTTTAAACTTGAGTTTTTAGGATAACATCTTGAAAGTTGTACTAAAAGTTTTCAGAAAACACTCCAAACTGATTTTGGATCAGGTTCTTCTTTAAACTGGTTTCCCGAGTAATTTATTTGTAGCTTCAGTCAGGGTTTAACCAAATAGATAGTACAATAGATGGCAACGTAGAATTTGTACACTCTCAGCTGTATTCTGTCGTCACAAGTGTCAACTCAGTTTTTGTGTCCGACAAAATTATCAATAATCGTGATAATTTTAGAATAAAGTGCTTTTCTTACAGTAAAATAAGTGCAATTTTATGTGTTCTTTAGTCTCTGTTTTTACACTCTTTTATTAATCTTGGAGAACATATCAACTTATGTGAGACACTTTCGTTTTCCTTGTTATATTTGACACTTGCGACGTCGTGTATAATTGGTTCATTTCTCTGTTGCCACCTATTGTACTTGATAATCTATTCAACAAATCTAGGTAAATAAACTGATTTACAAAAGAAAGGAACGCTTTATCATCTGCGGTTGAACTATGAATTAAAAAATCAAGACTGCAGGTGGGAGGGAACCCTTGGCTGCTATGAGCCACCCAGATTTGCTATGCAGGAAGACTCCGTGTACAGCTTTCTTAAAACTCGTGGTTTTCGGGATTTTCTTCAAAATAGTGGCATAAAAAGTTCTTTGAATACCAGAAGTATTAGTCAATTATTTTAAAGAGCGCCAAATTATGACTAATAAAGTTGTTCATAAAACTCTAAACGTTTTTTACGCTAAAAGGAAAACATCTAGAGTAAAAATTCTGAAATTATTTTTATTTGATATTTTATAATCTTAGATTTAAACGATATCTTTTATTTTTATCCGATTAAGATAATCAAAAATTATATTTTGACAACTAGTCATTATCTGAAATAAAAATGTTTAAATTACGGTATTGCCAAAATCAAAGATTATAACAAAATAAACAAAGTTAAATTTAGAAATGAATTTCCAAAAAGCTTCCTTTCTTCGTAAGAAATGTTTTATTATAAAACATAAACCTTGTAAACCACTTTTTGAGTCGATATAAGTTACAAATTATGACGAAACAATAAATAAAATTCATCTAATAAATTTTGTATGCCACTAAATTGAAAAAAAAATCGTTATAATTGTAAAAACCAAAAGTTTTTAAGAAGCTGTGCTGTATAGCAGAGGCTCGTTTACTGCATAGTAAGTCTGGGAGGCTCGCGGCCATGGATTTCCCTCCCTCCCTCACTTCAGGGAACGACCTGAAACTCGATTTAAATATGACAATCCCAGATCTAAATTAAGTCATCTAAGCCTTGAATGTGGCCTTTAAAAGACTTATTTGGCGAGGGAGGGAATCCCCAGACGCCATGAGCCTCCCAGATTTGCTATGCAGACCGAGCGGAGCCACTTACTGCATGGCAGAGGCTCGGTCTGCCTAGCAAATCTGGGAGACTTGTGTTTGCATGGCGTCTGTGGGTTCTCTCTCTATAAGAATCATTGTTTGTGGGCAACCCTTATTCAAAAAATTAATAATTGGCCGGAAGCCGGAGTTAGGTAGGGGGTCGAGCTCCAAACCAGTTCTGATATCCTAGTAGAATATCTCTTCAATTCTTTAATTTCTTAGAAAATGATATTTAATCGTGGTTAAATATTAAAATAAATTTCCCAAGCGGAGTTTATAGCATGGTTAAATCAGAACAATAATAAAGATGAGTTTAAAAATAAAAACAACTTTATTAAATATCAGGATAGCAGAACTAAAAGGGAGTACTTTTTCAAGGGTGTCTGTCTAGCTTCTGAACATAAAATAAGTAGAAAAAGCCCTTATCCATGGTTATTCAATTTATTTACTATGAAGAGAAAATATTTATCCCTGTACAACAGAGAGAGAGAGGATACACATGAATTAACACATTCGCCCGCCCCATCCCTTAAATACCTTCATTACCCCCTCCCACTTATTCTTAAAGTCTGTCAACCATATATTTTTAAGTTATCAAGCAAGTTTGCACCAATACACATGCTGGTCTACTAGTCTACTGATCTAATGATGTGATAGTCTACTGGTCTATTGTCTACTAATCTACCGGTCTAATGATAAAATGGTCTACTGGTCTATACTCAACTAATTTACCGGTCTAATGATATAATGGTCTACTGGTCTATATACTCTACTAATCTACTGATCTAATGATCTACTGGTCTATTATTTTACTGATATAATGGTCTACTAATCTACTGGTCTAATGATATAATGGTCTACTGGTCTATAGTCTACTAATCTACTGGTCTAATGATGTAATGGTCTACTAGTCTATAGTCTATAATCTACTGGTCTAATGATATAATGGTCTACTGGTCTATACTCTACTAAACTACTGGTCTAATGATAAAATGGTCTACTGGTCTATACTCTACTAATCTACTGGTCTAATGATATAATGGTCTACTGTTCGATACTCTACTTATCTACTGGTCTAATGATCTACTGGTCTATCATTTTACTGGTATGGTCTACTAATCTACTGATCTAATGATTTAATGGATCGGTCTATAGTCTACCAATCTACTTGTCTAATAATAAAATGGTCTAATGTTCTATACTCTACTAATCTACTGGTCTAATTATGTAATGGTATATTAGTCTACTGGTATAATGGCCTCTACTGGTCTACTGGTCCAGTCCAGTCGGTAGCGATGATCAGCCCTGCACCCCCCTTAATATTCTAGGTTCAAATATAAACCGCTTCATGTTTAGACTGTAATATAAAATGTTTAAGCTCTGTTACTTAAGATCTGCAGTCCAGTCGGTAGCAATGACGCCCTGCACCCCCCTTAATATTCTAGGTTCAAATATAAACCTCTTCATGTTTAGACTGTAATATAAAATGTTTATGCTCTTTTACTTAAGATCTGCAGTCCAGTCGGTAGCAATGACGCCCTGCACCCCCCTTAATATTCTAGGTTCGAATATAAACCCCTTCATGTTTAGACTGTAATATAAAATGTTTAAGCTCTGTTACTTAAGAACTGCAGGGCTTTCAAATACCACAGTGGCATAGTGGTTCTTCAAATTTCGTCTTTTCAATAATAATTCCAGAAAATCTTTGTGAATAATGAGACACCTGAGGAAAAAGGAGAAAATAGAAACTAATAATTGAACAAGATTACTTGTTTTGATGAAAAGATTAATTTTTACTTTCTCCAACCTGTTCTTAAACAACTAATTAGTTTACTGTAGATTTTTTTTTTACATTTTATGTCGGTGTTAGTTAATAATAAAAAAAAACTAAATCTGTAAGCGTATCCACCCACAAAGTAGTAGTTTTGAACGTCTAATTTGCACCCAAACTCAGGATTTACAGATCTTTAAAAAATTTTATAAGTCTCAAATGAATCCTAAAGAAGCTTTCCACAATTAACACTGCATACTCATTTCAACTACCTTACATAGCCGGTCACTCCCTTTAATGTGCACCATATAGGTTTCATAGACTGATTAGGAAGGTTTGAAATTCTTGACCAAGTTCTACCTACCGGTGCGTCAATCAGTGGGTTTGTGGATATTTAGCCAGACTCCTAGTGATTGCGCAATCATCGATCCTTGGGGAACTAAATTTGGGATGCCTATCAATGGCCTCATTAGCTGCAACTTTTTAACATCTATATCTTTGCAATCCAAAGTTGTAGACTATAGCAATTTCAAATTAAAAAATCTTAGTTTGAAATATTAAAGTTTTATATACCATCAGGTTGCAAAGATGTAGGGAGTAATATAGTTAACCATAAACATTTCGGAATCAAAAATATTTTCTACAAAAACCAAATCTAAATATTTTTACATTTTGTTTAAATATCATTTAATGGTCATTAAATATATAAATTGATCATATTTAAGTTAATGGTAGCAATGATCATTAAACTATATAAATATTACTAAATATTATCAAAATGTATATAAATGATATTTAATTATGGCTAATGATTAAAACTATGGGATTATAATATAATAAATTTTATTAAAGATACGTAATCCATTATTGAATAATATTTTCAGTTAGTAACAATTAAATTGTCCAGAATATATACATTAATACCCAAAGTAAATCATTAAATGAAATAATGAACACAAAATCTCAAACTTTTTTATTCAATGTTTATCGGTTTATGCTTAAATTCCTCTTGTTGTGAAATATCAGGCTCCAACGAGGGCCCTCTGACCTGGCACAAGTCCTGTGTACGCCTCTGAATTTTAATTTGTTAAATTAAAGAAACTGTATTTTTAAAATGACCCTCAAATAAAAAATGGGGGTATGCCCGTTCCCATTTGAACCCCTTTTCGCTCAATATGGAAGATCATGGTCGTTGTGCTAGCTTGAGAACTGGGTAATTCTGAAAATTAAATCACGTTGTTTCTGTAAGCAGAAATGCTCAAACATCCTTTTTATAGAGCAATCCCAATTGCTCATAATAAAAAATATAGAAATATGGATAGCTTATGCATTCTTGGTTGGAGGAAGATGTTTAGGGTACCTACATACCAGGTGGATTTAACGGTTCTGTCAATATTTCAGAAAACTGTGAATTTCTATCACAATTTGACCCATTAAACATAATTTGTAAGCCTTTTTTCTTCAATACTTTTTTGTCGGCATATACATTTTGAATGAAAAAGTACTGAATTAACAAACAATAAGGTAAAATATTGTTAAATTATAGACTAAAACACGTTTGATCACTTTAGTTTTAGTAGAAGTAAATATTTCCATTTACTGTTACAGCGCCGATATAAGGATTTATCTCTAATTGGATAATGAGATAGATAGAAAGATAGATGTTACCCCCATGCAATTTCTATTGGTTCAGAATAGACACCAACCACATGATTGAACCCTCTGATTGGATCAGGCGCTAATGGACTCGGCATACTACAGAGTTTAATATCAAATAGTAGAAACCGAATGCTGCTCACTCTGGTTAGTCTGGGGTGATATGGAATTCTCTGAAAAGAAAGGTCCTTGAAATTATGATAAAACAAAAACTAAAAAAAGTTTGCGCATTTCATAATATTTTTTCGCGCATTTTCAAAAGTTTACAAAAATAAAATCATTTAAATACAAATTTTTGAAATTTTAAATCCTTCATAAATTCCCTCCCAGGGGTCACGTGAGGTCCCACACAAAATTTGGGCCCGATCGGCTTAGCCGTTATGACGTTTATTGTACACAAACAAACAAACAGACAGACAAGCCAAATTTATATATCTATATATAAATTTGGCTTGTCTGGGTGTCTGTTTGTCTGTTTGTATCCAATAAACGTCAAAACGGCTGAACCGATCAGGCCCAAATTTTTTGTGGGACCTCACGTGACCCCAGGGAAGGTTTA